CTACTGAGCCACAACCCCAGCCCACTTCGTATGTATTTTAACAATAAAACAATGCAGTGAAAAATACCAGTATACATGGACTGTATGTGATTCTTTTTTCAAACACTTTCAGAATCACCCCTCTCTTGCTGAATTCTTCTTTCTTTAGTACCCTTCTTACACCCACTACAGACTACTCTCACCCACAACCCTTTATAGCAATATATTTAGATGGCTTTAACTCTGAGTACAAAGCCCCTTGAGCCCAAAGATCCAGACATCTTTTTGTGGTATGTTAAGCTAGTGAGGTTTCTATGTGCTTAATGTCTGTAGAAGGGAGGAAGGAGATAAGGAGGGTGAAACTGAGGAAAGGAAGGCCTTTAAGACTAAACACTCACAGGCTTTTCACAATGTGAACAGTGAAGCTCCTACATAGTGGGAGTAAGAGCTGGAGGAGGAGGACCTTTGAGGGACCCTGTGGGTGAGTGAGGAAGGTGATGGTGGCCATGGGAGGTGAATTGGCAACACAGGAAGAGCTGGCAAAGTAAGAAGGATGAATCCAGCCATCCTCAAAGGGACAATTTTTTTTTGTTCATTTGTTTTAGATGGACACAATGCTTTTTTTTTTTTTTTAGTTGTAGTTGGACACAATACCTTTATTTATTTTCATGTGATGCTGAGGATCAAACTCAGTGCCTTGCACGTTTGCACGTGCTAGGCGAGTGCTCTACCACTGAGCCATAAACCCAGCCCCAATGCCTTTTATTTATTTATTTTATGTAGTACTGCGGATTGAACCCAGTGCCTCACCCTCGCTAGGTGAGCACTCTACCCCTGAGCCACAACCCCAGCCCCTGTAGGGACAATTTTAATGATACTTGCAAAGGAATTTCAGAGAGCACAGTGTATTGGGTTGAAAGATGACTTGGTTAAATCAAGATCTACTGAAAACCTGAAGTTTTAGTAAAATGGCTTCAGTGAAGGAAATAGCTCAATGAGAGTTGACTCCAACTCTCTCTCTTAGGCACATCTTGAATCAGGTCTTCCTCAAAAATCCTCAAGAACATGACCACCACCAGCAGCCACAGTATTTATCAAGCACTTTCTTTATCTCATTCATTCTCCCATCAACCCTGTGAGGTCTGTGGTACCATCTCCCTCATCTTATGAATGAAGACAGCCAAGCTTTAGGATGGTTAAGCAGCATTCCCAGCCCTCACTTTCCTCCTCCATGGGCCACTTACACCAGCCACTTTGCTAGAACCAACCAACATGCCAGAACATTTTAGAATAACATGCTAGAACCAGTCTGATTCCACAGGGTCATCAGACTGCTTTCTGCAAGTCTGAACACCATTGATTGAAATGGATTTCCCAGTGACTCACTGCCCACTGCCACTTGCTCAACACCCAGAAGTTCCACCAATACCATCCTGCCATGTGGGAATCACTTACAGGTGTTCTGCTGCCTCTGACAGTGCAAGTATGAGTTAATGATAAAAGAGGTTAAAATGAATGAAATAATAGATCAAATTGGGGGGATACAGTAGGAAGGGGCACAGAAAGAGAGAGAGAAATGCCTTCTGTTTAGGAAGCATAACACTCCCTAAAATGTCCTGAGAATCCATTTCAATCTTATAACCAACATACATACTTTCCACTTTGGGCCCAGATGTGATAATGGAAGAGGAGGAAGACATGGAGAACAAGAACATTTTTTTTTAATTGGGAAAACATAAAACCATGGTAATTGTATAGTAGGGGCTATCAAAACAATTAAAATTCTAGGTATATTGGGTTTCCTAACTAGAGGGATTCTTGAGGTAGGATTCTATTGCCTCCAAACAAATGTCTTCTCTGTAGTGCCACCTTAAGGGGGCCATTGTTGACCCTCCCAGGGCTCTTTCTCCCTGGCATGAAGGAGACCAGTCGCTTTCTGAGCCACTGGAAGCTGAAAACAAAATTCAGACAGCACGTTGTTTTGGTGTCTAAGGGCACATCCTCCTCCTTTGACTCCTCTGATAAGACTGAGGAGGTTTCTTCAGTGCCACTGTCCTGGCTTTGCATCTGCAAAGACAAAGAGGATGAGTAGAGACACACAGTCTCAGCAGCAATGAACTCAATATCTAGTCACTCATGAATATCTAATTTATTTTTTTACCAAAAATGGCCAACTGTAAATGGAAAGTTTCATTACTCATTAACCATCTCACACACACACACACACACACACACACACACACACACACACATTTGTTTGTATTATCATTAGTCCTTCTCTCTGCTCTCCCCTCTCTTGCCTGACTCAGCGTTCCTTGGCATGTTCCTCACCCCTCTCCCCCAGCTCCTTTCCTGGCTGTCCTGCTTCTCCCATTGTTCATCTGCTCAGACACTGGGGTCCACCTCTGCTTCACAGCAGGTACAATGACTCCATGTTGTCCAACCTGGCACCCGCTCCCTGACCCACCCCTTGCTCTGCACTGAGGCTGCTCTGTGCTCACCTCAACAATCTCATCGTCCTCAAGCTCAGGAGGCATTTCTGGGAGCTGGTCCATGTCTCCATTTTCTGGTGGGTCACACTTGGGCAAGTCCTCACAAGCTTCAGGTTCTTGATGACTGACCTGATCCATATGGGGAGAGGCACTGCTGCACGGCTG